AAACTACCTACCCTACCCAACCAAATTCTAGGTAAATGTTACTTCAAAGCAGAAAAATATCAGTCTCTATGGGTCTTTATACTTTTTTTTCGAGACAGGGTTTTGCTACGTAGTCAGACTTGGAACTCACTATGGAACCCAGGCTGCTCTTGAATTTGTAGCAATCCTCCTACCTCAGCTTACCTGGTGCTGGGATCACAGGCATGCACCACCACGCCAGGCAACTTCACCCCATTCCAACTGGTCTTTCATTATCCTATCACCTTACTAAAATGCGTTCTCAAGGTTCCCAATGATTTACTAAATTCTGTGGACAATTCTTATTTTTTTGGCTCTGGAATTGAACTCACAGCTTCTTGAATACTAGACAATGTTCTGTCACCAAGCTAATCCTCAGCCCTACAGTCACTTTTTGTTTACATTAGTGAAATTTCATCTGGAATTTTCTGCTTTCCAGCTCTGACAATGCCACTCTTATCCAGGACACTAAAGCAGAGAAAGCTGTAATGTTGCGGGATGTTGCTTTCTACATTTCACACATTATTACTTTTTGTCATGAACTAACCCAGTAGGTCAGCAGCTCACAAAATTTAGTAGGATCCATGCATTTCCCACTTCATTTCGGTGTCTGAGTTTGTACTCTGTGAGCATTTCTTTCCTTTTGTTGTTTTACAGTGCTAGGAATCAAACCTAGGGCCTGAGGCATGCCAAGCAAGTTTCTTGCAAAGAGCTACATACTTATCTTTTCCTCTCCTTAATCTTTAAAAAGATAAAAAGAATATAAATTTGTTCCTTCATATTTAAGAAAACCAACTGTTAGCATTACATTATACATTCAAGTGGAAAAACTAAAGTGAATGATTGTCCTTAAGGCCCTTGTTGAGTTTAAAACATAGTTATGATTTTGCAAGCAACTACAAAAATATCCAAAGCTGATTTAAAAGAAAAATCATACTCTTACAGGTCCAAAAACTATTAACTAAATCAGAATTATGAAAAATCCTAACCAAAACTGTTGTTTACCATTTTATGAGATTTTTAAGGGGAAATTAATCATTGTAGATATGGAAAAGCCAAAAAACAAAACCAAAAACCAAAAACCAAAAACCAAAACAAAACACCAAAATTTTTTTCTTTGAACTATCTAGGAATACTGACCTTCCCTTGTAGAGTTGTTTGAAAGTGTTCAATTTTTCTGGAACCTTGTAATGACTGCCAAATGTTGCAAAACTCATCATCAGCTTTAGTGGGTACCTAGCAGAACACAAATAATTTATGGCAACGAAACGCAACAAAATATTCATATGGAAAATAAAACAATTAGTAATTAAAGTTACTCAGTGGTACATAAGATATTAAACTTTCTCTTTTTTTTGGCTTTTGAGCCTGGGTTTAATCAAGTAGTTTAGGCTGGCCTTGAACTAACTTTGTAGCCCAGCCTGGCCTTAAAGGTGCAGTGATCCTCTTGTCGCAGCATCCTGAAAGTGGGGACTACAGTGTGTGCCACATGCCTGGCCTGAACTTTCATTATTTAAACCCCCTCAGTTCATCATTTTAAGAGCTCAGCATAGATATACAAAAGTATTTCTACTGGAAAGAAACATCCTCACGTACAAGTGTTTTTTTTTTTTTCTTTTTTCCTTTTTTGTTTGTGTATTTGGAACAGGGTCTCACTATGCATACTGGCTCATGGTAATCTTCCTGTTTTCATCCTTCCCAGCACTGGGCAGGGGCCTGCGCGGCATTTGGCATATGGGATGGGGGATCAAACTACGGTCAGTGCGCTTGCCAAAGCAGGTGCTTTATCTGCTGAGCTATCTTGTCAGCACTAAGTGGTTTTTTTTTTTTTTAAACTTTATTGTATTTTAAAGATAATTAAAAACAACACAGAATTTCTTTTTTTTTCCTTTTTGAGGAATGGCCACTATGAAATTCAGGCTGGCCTTGAGCTCACTTTGTAGCCCTGGCTGGCCTAGAACTTGCAACGATTCCCTTGCCTCAGCCTCCCAAGTGCTGGGCTTACAGGCATGTGCCACCACACTTCACTCTCAGAATTTCAAAACAAGAAAATAGGAAATTAACAATGATTATTATATTGCATATGATTATCTTAAAAGTAGTCGCTCAGATTATCAGATATAGGCATATGAGACTGATCAAACAATATAAACAGTCGATAGCTTTACTGAAAAGCATAACAAAAACTATAAAGATTATACTCAGTCATTATCCCCACCAACATTTCTTTTTCTTCTAATATACTATACTGTCATTCAAACTAACATAAAGATTGGTCAGAAAAAAAAAAAGACTATTGTATTTTAAAAATGTGTATGTTAAAAAAACTCCATCTTTATAGAAGTAATCTAAAATGATTTAAAATGTATTACACACATGTACCAACTCTGTAAAATGAATGTCATCATTATATAATGTAAACATGTACTAATAAAAATGAATTCAATAAAATTATATAATTTATAGCAGGAGGCATAGAATGTTTGGATTATATAAGAAATTTTAACATTAATTTGAAAAGTAATATATAAAGAAAAACAACTTTCTCAAGCTTACTACTTAAATAAAAAAAATTTTTTTTTAATGTATTTGGCTGTTACAGGGCCTCACTACACAGCTTGGATTCATAGTGATCCTCCTGCTTTCAGCCTCCCCAGTGCTGGGATTTCAGGCATGTGGCACTATGCCTGGACTCTGGTCAGCTTGGCCCACCCTGGGGGGTGGGGGGGCTGGCAGGGCATGTGGTGCCGGGGATTGAACCGCGGTCCCTGCACTTATCTAAACTTGCCTAACAGGCGCTTTAGTCCATTGAGCTATCTTGCCAGCCCTTGAATTTCTTTTTTTAATATAACTAATTTTATAACAGAGGTAGAATGCCACCATAGCATTCTTTATTAGACCATTATTTTGAGGGTGTGTACTGGAAATTGAACCCAGTACCTTTGCACCTTTCTGGCCACTTTTAAAAATTAATTTTGAGATTCAGTCTTGCCTGAGCAGTTACACTGCTCAGGCTAGGATTTAACTTGTGATCCTCCTGTCTCTGCCTCCAAGAGTGCTGGGATTACAAGAAGCCTGCACAACACAACCATGCCTAATTAGCCTATTATTATTATTATTATTATTTTTTTTTTTTTTTGTACCAGGGACTGAACTCAGGACCTTGCGCTTTCCACACAGACAATTATGCTGCTGAGGTAGCTATTGGCCCATTAGCCTACTATCTTAAAACAAATCTGAAATGGATTTGAATCAAAACAATGAAGTTAAATTAGATTTCCACTTAGGAATTTTATGATGATTTGTAAAGAGGGGGCAGAGAGCTGGGTGTGGTGGCACACATCTGTAATCTATGGGAGGCTGAGGTAGGAGGATCTTAAATTCAAGGACAGCCTACACTGCACAACAAATTTGAGAGGATATCCTAGGCTATAAAATGGGTTCTTGTCTTAAAAAATCCAAAGAAACCCAAAAAACATGACAGAGAGAAACTAAAGGCTTTGAGGACATGGCTCCGTGGTAGAGAAAGCATCTCCTAGCATGTTTGTGTGTCTGGGCTGATCCCTGTTCTCTCTCTCTCTCTCTCTCTCTCTCTCTCTCTCTCTCTCTCTCTCTCTCTCAAGACTGAGAGGCTTACTTGAGTAGGAACAAAAAGTGATTGAGGGGAATGGTTGAGGCCTCCCAAATTCCCAGCAGAAACGGAGGAATTCGCAGTATGTTGATTCACGGCTGGCTGTGGTTTCACTATGGCTGTCAACTTCTGATTTCCAGTTTCAGAGCGACTTCCATGAGAAAGGTTCACCAAGGCACTTGTTGGCAATCGATAACCTTTTCCAGGTGAGCACCTAAAAGGAAAAAGTTCTATTAGGGTTAGAAATAAGTTAAACTAAATGTGTTAAATGTGGTCTAATTCTGGAGCGCACAATCCATCATCAGAACTGAAATAGTACTTTAAAATTCAGTCAAGGATTTTCATAATAACCTAACAAAAATATATTAATTATAGAAGAGGATATTGAGGGACAGATGTTTTTTAACTAACCTGTCCAAATTAACACAAAGTGTGAGAGTTCATCTTTTCTAATACACAATGGTGCCTTCATTCTATCACGATCTTTGTTCTTGTAACTTAAAACTTTGTATTAGAGCCCCTTCCAGATGAACTCAAGGTCCCACCAATGTTAAATTAAAAACAATCGAACCCTAGTTCTTTAAGCTGGCTAAACTCCAGTTAATTTGTTCCTTTCTCTTCATAGCCAAACTTTACAAGGGTCACCCCAATTTCCTATCTGCAGTTCTATACCTGCCATTCACCAAATCTGGCTTGGGCACCCATAACCCCACTAAAATGGGTGGTAAGGACTTACACATCACTGAATTCACTGGACATTTCTCTTAATTATAAATGTCTTGTGTTACCTAAGCTACTCTTTTGCTAAGCATTCTTCTCTATTTTTCTTTTCCTAGTTAACTATTCTTCATTTCTCCTTCCATGCACTTGTCACATTTTAATTAAATATTATAATCAGCTGCATAATTTAGTGCTCTTGGGGCTGGAGAGATGGCTCAGTGGTCTAAAGCACCTACTTGAAACAAGCTTGGCAAAGCACAGGGACCGTGGTTCGATCCCCAGCACCACATGCCAGCCAGACCCGCCCCCTGGTGGGCTGAGCTGGCCACACACACACGATAAATAAATGTAATAAATAAAAATTAAAAAAAAAAATAATAATTTAGTGCTCTTAATAAAAAGCTCTGAGATAATGGAAAGCACTTGTCATACTGTTATATCTATAGTAGAAAGTATGACAATACTGCACACATTATAAACTAAGCAATATAAAATCAGAAGTTACATAAGCATATTCACAAAATGTAAGCTGGAAATACAAACCTTATTGTTAAACCTCCATGAAATTCTTCATCAAACAATACTTCAAATAATACATCAGCTTCTCTATTAGCTATTAAAAGAGAAAATAAAAATCTATGATAAAGAAATCTGTAGGCAAGATTTTGGAGAACCCAGAATTTTTAAAATTCATGTAAAACATTCTGGATATGAAGAATGACATACTACCATAATGAACATCACATAATCTAAGAAACAGAGTACTGGGCCTTACAACATTGTGCTCCAATCCCTATTGGCAGTTACGATTCCTCTACATTTCTTCATACTTTTCTTATATAAGAACATATCTATGAACATTACATGGAACTGTTTTTTAAGTTTTGAAACATAAATATGATATTTACAGAGTTTTTTTAAAATAAAATTATTTATTTATTTTTACATTTTGTGTGTGTGTGTGTGTGTGTGTGTGTGTGTGGCCAGCTCAGCCCACCAGGGGGCGGGGCTGGCTGGCATGTGGTGCTGGGGGATTGAACCGCGGTCCCTGTGCTTTGCTAAGCTTGTTCTGAGTAGGTGTTTTAGACCACTGAGCCATCTCTCCAGCCCCCATTTACAGAGTTTTTGAAACTTAAATTTGTTTCAACATGATTACTTATAATGTTTCAACATCATTACTTATAAGTTCTCTGGATGTATATTACTGCACATGTGGATATGTCACAATTTGTCCATTGTCCTGCTGATGGACATTTAGGTTGTTTCTAACCTTTACAATTCCAACTTAATTGTAAACAGTGCTACTACTGAAAATCATGTAAATATGTCTTTTGCGTAATTGAACCCTTTCCTAGTTTAGAAACAAAATGAAATTGTCAGGTGTTAGGGAATGTACTTAAAATTTCTTTTTGTTTTGTTTAGTTCTATTCCTGAGACACAGACTATTTAGCTCCATCTGGCCTTGAATTCATGATGCAGCCCAGTCTGGTTTCAAATTTGCAGCAATCCTGCCTCAATGCCTCAGCCCCTTAACTTCTGGGATTACAGGTGTGTATCACCACACCCGGCAAAACTTTTTTAAGTATTGAAAATCGAACTCAGGACCTTGCACTTGCCAGGCAGGCACTGTGCCACTGAGCTACATCCCCAACCCCTGGCAAAACTTCAAAAAAATAGGTTTCTTCTTTTTTGTTTTGGAGACAGGGTCTCAGTAGGCAGTTCAGTCTGGCCACGAGCTCATTATGTAGCCAAGGCTGGCAGCAAACTCTCAGTGATCCTCGTACCTCAGTCTTCTGAGTGCTGGATCACATGCATGTACTATCATGCCTACCAACTTTTTTTTTTTTATTTGGTACATTTGGTACTTTTATTTTTTTATTTGGTACATTCAGTCTATGTAGCTAGGACTCATAGGGATCTTCCTGTTTTTAGCCTCCCCAGCGCTGGGATTACAGGTGTGCACCATCAAGCCCAGTCTCGGTAGCCAGCTCAGGATGCCCGGGAGCAGGGCTGGTGTGTCATGTGGTGCCAGGGATCAAACTCTGGTCCCTGCGCTTGCCTAAGTAGGTGCGCTTACTCACTGGCCCCTACCATCTTTTTAAGAACCTAATTAAACTATTTTCCAAAACTGTTGTAGCATTTTGCATTTTCATTGGCTGTAGAGGAAGAGTCCTAGTTGTCCTACAACACTGTTGACATTTTGGCATAGTTAAGTTGGTATATGGTTTTAATCTGTATTTCCTAATGACTAATTTGTTTTGCTTTTTGTTTGACACAGGGTCTTGCTATGTAGTTCAGGGTGGCCTTGAACTCACTAGCTATCAAACATACAATGATTCTCCTGACTCAGTCTCCCAAGTGCTGGGATTACAGGTATGAGCCGTCATGCCCTGTGCATTTCCTAATGACTAATGATGCTGAACATCTTTCCATGTTTCAGGTATCCTTTGTGGAAAATTTCTGTTCAGCTCTTTTATTTATTTAAAAACTTAAGTTGCTTATTGCTAGGTTGCAACAATTCTTTATATATTTTATTTCACTTTTTTTTGGACACAGGACCTCATTTTAAACTCACTATGTAGCCCAGGCTGGCCTCAAACGTGCAGCAATTCTGGCCACAGCCTCCCAAGTGCTACAATTACACCACGCCCAACAATTTATTTTAAATACAAGTGGTTTATTGACTTATGGTTTGCTAGCACTTTCTTTGTATGTGGCTTGTCTATTCACTTCTGTGACAAGGTCTTTGAAGAGAAAAAAAATTATTTTCTTAAAGTTTAAAAGCCAACATTTTCTTTTATAATTGGTACCTTTACTAACCTCTAGGTTATTAAGCTTTTCTTCAGGGGACTGGGAATATAGTTCAGTAGCAGAGCACTTGCCTAACATGCATAAGTCCCATACGTTTTTTTTTTTTTTTTCTTCTTTAAACCTGGCATGGTGGCACACATACCTACTAATTTCAGCACTCTGGGTACTAATCAGGAGGATCACAGGTTCACACTGAGCTAGAGCAAACTAACAAGATCCTGTCTCAAAAAGCAAAAACAAAATGGGCTATGTGTCCCAGTGTGCAGGCACTAGGTTTAGTCCCTACTATCAAAACAAAACAAACATAAACACAAATAGACTTGCTTCTAAAACTTTTATAATTTTAGCTGTTACATTTAGGTCTTTGATTCATCTTCACTGTGGTTCATTTCTTTGCTACAATCTGTATTCTAGCACCAACTTTGAAGACACTATCCCTTTTCTATTGAATTATCTTGCCACCTTTGTTGAAAATCAACTGGCTACAAATGTATGGGTCTGTTTCTGGACTCTAATTCCATTTCACTGAATTACATTCATGTCTGTTTTTATGCCAGTCTACAACTTTTCCTTATTCAAGCTTTATAATAGTGATGGGAAACCTATGACACAGTGGGGTATTTATATTACAGAAAGCTCCAAGTTTTACTATGACTGCTTTATAAAGCTTTATAATTCGTGAGTTTAAATTTTCTGGCTTTGTCCTTCAAATTGTTCTGACTAGTCTAGAGCCCAAAAGTGAAGAAATTTTGCCTCTAAGACTGTGTTTGCATTTTTTTGTTTGTTCGTATTTTGAGGCAGAGTCTGACTATATAGTTCAGGATGGCCCTGAATTTGCAGTTATCCTCCTGCCTCAGCCTCCTGAGTTGTGGAATTACAGGTGTGTACTATCATGCCCAGCCAAGACTACCTTTGGATTTAAGACTGTAACATCAACTCTCACTGGAATTTCCAGCTGCAGATTTTGAAGTTGGCAATCTCTAAAACTGCATAAGCCAGTTTCTTAAAATCAATTAATCTCTTTTCTACTTGCTCCATTCTATCAACTCTGTTTCTCTAAAAAATTCTAACTCTACAATAATCTGATAGTATGCTAGGCTCTCATGAGGCTCAGGGGCTGTCTCCCATCATAGTGCCTCATTGCCCAATTGAAACTAAGCCAGGAGAGTTTATCTATTTATATCTTTCAACAAGATAGTTCTGTCTAAAAATCCAAATAAACAAAAATAATAACAATAAAAGACACACCATCTAGGTTCCCATTTCTTCTTAGGGGCATTGAGGAGATTGTTTACACTCAGCTGAGGGAAAAATGAAAACTACTCCCTTCACCATAGACCCATGGCAGGCATGATTAATCAATGACAATAAAGGTTCAGTAAAGATAGAGCCTTAAAATCCTCAAGATAAGGTTCCAAGAGGCTCTTATTATTGATAGGAATTGTCAGAAGAAAATAAATTTCTATTACTTGAGCCCTATGGCTTTACTAGGTCAAACTAACTGTAATACAATCCATAAACTCAAAATGTGAAGAGCACATGCAGAAGGTTTAACAACCAACAGCAGGGGTTTGTTTGACTGAATCCATCTAAACTTTATTATGCTCAGCCCAGAGCCTGACCCTCCTCTTTTCATTTCCTGTAACTAAAAATACAACCAAAAAATAAAATAAAATAAAATAAAAAATAAGAAAAGAATCAGGAGAAAAAACTCTCTTTTATAGTAAGGGGGACAGAGAAGACCTGAACAATATCTGCAGTGGAAAATATGGAGAACCACTACCTCAAAGTAAGGCAGAAATCATGGGAGAGAGTTCAAATTCCAGCTTTGTTACTTTCCTGTGTAAACACTGACAAGTTAACCCCTCAGGTAGGGAAATCACACTTATCTCTCAGGTGGCTGCAAGGATTAAATGCCAACTGTGTAAGTGGCTGGTACACCTAAGGCCTAGATATGATCTGTGGCCTGGTAAGACCAAAAGACTGACTGCCTGGGATGTGGAAAGACAGTGCTATCAGGTTTTTCAGGTTGGCTTGAACATGTGATCCTCCTGCCTCAGCATCCTGAGTACCTGGAGTACAGGTATGCAATTTTTTTTTTTTTAATGGTGGCAAAAAAATTAATAGGAGATGGGGATACAGCTCTGTAGCACAGCATGTGCTCACCATGCACAATACCCTGGGTTCAATCCCTAGCTTCAAAACCAAAAATCCACAAATGTACTTAACTAAAGCTTACCATTTTAAAATATATAGTACAGTAGCAAAAACAGCATGCACCTTATTGTGCAACAGACTGAGGTCTGTTATATATTATCTAGTTATACTCACAAAATACAAATTCACATGTTCATCTCCCAAGTCTTTTTTTTTTTTTTCTCCCAAGTCTTTTAACCATAAATGACTTCATGTTTGTTTATTCACAGAAACCCAGAGATTTTAATGATAAGGCAAAGATTTGAGCAAGATTAGGAAAGTTTAAGAAATGATGAAAGTACTTTTTTGGTTCCATGAAAACATATGTATACCCTCTGAGATCTTATAATTTTAGTATATAAATTTAAGTGTTCTCCATAAAAACTACCCAGTTTTCTGTAGCTTCTTCTCCAATTCTCCCTCCTTTAACCACCTCCAAAATGATTACACAAGAAAAAGAGAACTTTCTCTGAAAAGTACAGCCTAAAAACAGGGAAGGAAATAAGCTAATATAGAAAAGGATTTAGGGGCTGGGGAAATATCTCAGAGATCGAAGCACCTGCCCGGCAAGCACAAGGACCTGAGTTTGATCACTGGTACTGCATGCCATGCCAGGAATCCCAGGTGTGCTGTGCCAACCCCTAAGCAGGCGTGGTGACACATGCTTGTAATTCTGGTACTTGGGAGGCTGAGACAGGAGGATCACTATGAGGCTGAACTGTGTAGCAAGATCCTTGTAACAAATAAATAAATTAATTTAAAAATAAAAAAGGATTTAGTTTTTTCCTGATCCAAGTTGTTTTTTGCATAAACACAATTTTGTGTTTTCCTTTACACTAGAAAGGTAGCTGAAGACATGGCAAGTGCTGAGGTATTACCCCCTTTAATTCCTATGATGGTGCCCCGAAGGCCAACAGGAACTGAGAAATTCTCTCTCACATTCACAACACGGTCAAAAAGACGAAATTCTGCATCTCGATCAGGAATAACTCCATGTTGTTGTTCTAAAGGCTGAAAAGAAGGAAGCTGTTAATTACAATTAAAAGTCTTACTCATCTATTGAAAACATTTTTGTTCCTTTCATACCTTCAAAGCAAAAACAAAAACTTTTGAGTTCTTTGACAGAAACTTACTCTGTATAGCAAATGGGGTTTCACTGTCACACGTACTTTCTTATTATTTTTTCTTTGCTGAAAAGATAAAAATTTAAAATATAAAATTATGAAATAATTACTTAGTACTTCATCATGTCTGATTTATACAAAGCCAAATGAAATAATTTAGTTTAAAAACTACAGTTCTGCAACTGCAGTGAGAAATAAACATTTACAAAGTACTTATAAACTAAATTCATTTTTTAAAATTTTATTTTATGTATTTAGTACAGAGTCTACAGGGTCTCACTACACAGGTCAGATTCCTAGTGATGCTCCTGTTTTCAACCTCCCAAGTGCTGAGATTACAGGCACGCACCACCACGCCCAGTCATGTGCAGTCTCAGTGTGCCCCAGGGGCTGTGCTCTGCCTAAACAGGTGCTTTAGTCTGCTGAGCTATCTGGCTGGCCCTCTAAATTCTAATTTAAAAACTTTTAACACACAAGTTCTGGAGCATGAGATATATAAAAATGCAAAGTTAAGTCCTGTACACCTGTACTAGCACTCTGGGAGGCTGAGGGAGGAGGGCTGAAAGTTTCAATTTAACAACCTAGTGAGGCTCTGTCTTAAAATATTTTTACAAAAAGGGCTGGGAATGAGACAGAGTGCAAAGTGCCTATGTTTAATACCCAGCACACAACCAGATGTATTTATAGTATATCTATGTATGACTCTACCTGACCCAAGAAACATCATTACTGTGCACATCAGTCCTCTCCATCCATTTACTATCTTCTCCCAAAAGATCACATTTGTCTGTTTTAAATTTTATATTAATGCTATCCTATTCAATTTTTATTCTCTAATAAGAATTGCAAGCTAGGCATGGTGGCTATAATCTCAGCACTTGGGAGGCTGAGGCCAGCCTCAGTTACACAGAGAGTTCAAGGCCAGCCCTGAACTGCATATTGAGACCCTGTCTCAAAAACAAAACAAATAAATGAACAAAAATTACAATAAAGCCTTTGATAGTGAGCAATTTCGTGAGTATTCTAAAAGATGAGAAAATATTTCTAACAAATTTTAACTTGAAGGGCCGGCCCACTAGCTCAAGGAACTAAAGCACCTGCACCAGCAGAAAGCAGCAGCCGGGGTTCGACCCTAGCCTGCTGTACCGGCTCTGCCCTTGAGACACGCTGAGACTGAGATTGAGACTAGGTACAGTGGCATGTCCTTGGGAGGCTGAAAACAGGAGGATCACTATGAGTATGATCTACGTAGTGAGACCCTCTACTCCCTGTCCTAAATTCATAAATAAATAAATAAAATTTTAACTTGATAAATTGAGTGGTATGTTGTAATACAAGCAATATGTGATACTGAATGTCACAAGATCACTACTGAGCCAATGGTTACTTTCTCCCTCTCGCTGCATGGTGTGGGTGATCCTCTCCCAACAGCAAGAGGTAGTGGAGATCTCGTCAGCAGAGGAAGTGGGGAGAAAGATAGAGGAAAAATCCCTTGCTTAAATGAGATTAGGGAGATGTGGAAAATGTGGGACAGTGCAAAATTTGCTGTAGTGGTTTTTTAAGGGTACTACACTGTCCCATTTCCCTGGGAGCCAAAACCAAGTGTCATGGGATAGGTTTCTTGTTAAGATTACTCAAAAAGAGAAAGATTTCATTGAGCCCTTGGACTGAAATGGTTCCGTTAACGACAGTGAAAGTCATCCTGTAGGATAACCCTTGTTTTTCTTGTGTCCTTCACACTAGCCATGAGAGTTTTCAAAGATAAGTGCAGGCTAAATTGCTTTTCTTTATATTTGGTATTTTATTATTTTGTATTATATTATAGTATTGTAATAGTTTATATGAATATTTTTGGGTTATGAAATGAATGCTCTAAGTTTGCATTCTTTCATATAGGGAAATGCACTTTGGTATGTTGTATAAGTGCTTTGGACTACAAGCATGTTCCTGGAGTGAACTACATTCACACCACAAGGTTTTACTGCACATTTATGTATTTTGGTGTTTTAATTTTTATTCTTTGAAAGCTCTCATAGTAATGTGCAAAACTACCTGAGTTTGGGAACCACTACAAAGAACAAAAGATGTGAAAGTAGAAGGCTGACTATTGGAGAAGAGGAAGGGGATCGGGGAAGAAGGAAGAAAAAGAGATGGGAGTAGCTAAGATCAGACTAGGCCATAGCATGTGTGAGTGTGCCACAACCAAACTCAGTACCTGCCTACCTAGTATGCACTAAAAACTATTAAGATTATTTTAAAAAACAAATGGTGGTGCTGGGGATAAACCAAAGGGCCTGTATATGTTAGGTAAGGCTCTACCACTCTCTTACATCCCCCCGCCCTTTCTGAACATTTTTCTTTTCAGGCAGGCCTTATGCTTGTGATTCTCCTGCCTCAATCTCCCAAGTCACTGTGCTTTAGACACGTGCTACTCTGTGCCAGGCTACTACTGTACTTTTGGTGATGACCCTACATAATAAAGAAATTTTAATTATAATACTAAAAGGAAGAAAGTATACCTCCTTCACACATAAACAGGTTTTTGTTTTGTTCTGTTTTGAGTCAGGGTCTCACTATGTAGTGTAGGCTGGCCTTGAACTCACGCCAGCCCTCTTGCCTCAGCTTCCCGAGTGCTAGGATTACAGGTATGCACCATCACGTCTGGCATACAAACAAGTTTCAAACTATATTTTTTTCTATATGCACACTTACTTTTAAATATTTCTACTGAAAACAGTAATAGTAAGCATTGTTGGTATTAACAGTAAATGGGCATTATTTTATTATTTATTTTTTTGTTTTGTGATGCTGGGAATTAATACTAGGTCTTCATGCATGCTAGGCAAGCTCTTTACCATTGAGTATACTCCCAGGTCAATCAATCCTAATTTTAATGCATCAAGTAGAGGATTTAAGTAAGTCTACTACAGATGTTTACTGTTTTAAAATAATACGTAAAAAATAGGAGATTAAGTGGAATTTCTAAACTTTTTAAAAATGTATTTGGCTGTTATAGGGTCTCACTACGCAGCTCAGACTTAAGTGATTCTCCTGTTTTCAGCCTCCCTATCACTGGGATTACAAGCGTGTGCCACCATGCCTGGTTTTGGTGGCCAGCTTGGTGTGGGGCCAGCATGGCATGTGGTACTGGGAATTGAACCTGGTTCCTTGTGCTTGTCAGGCTGCTGAGCTATCTCCCTGCCTTAAAACTTCTTAAGACCTGAATGAATTAATGAGTGACAAAAGGGCAAAAGTAGAATTTAGAAGTAATTTTATAAAAGAAAATTAAATAAAATTTATATTGTTTTAAGGTGTTGCCAAGTTAGCATATAAACTTTTGAGCTCAAGTCACCCTCCTCCTGCCTCAGACTTCCAAGTAAATGGGACTACAAATTATGTCACTGCACCTGACTGGATAAATTTTTATGTTCTATAAAAACACGAACTGTGTCCTTTTTTTTTTTTTTGGTCTTTTTGAAACAGGGTTTCCCTATGCAGCTCAGGCTGGCCTTGAACTCACTCTGTAGCCCAGGTTGGCCTCAAATTCACTGTGATTCTCCTCCCTCAGCTGGGATTATTAGGTGTGTGTCACCACACCAGGTTGAACTGTGTCTTTAAAGAATATAGTTAAAACCCAGAAGTAACAGAGTACTAACCTTGTTTCTGAGTCACAAACTACTATAACTCAAATCAAAAACTACTAATTTTTGCAGGTTTTTTTTTTTTTTTTTTTTTTTTTGCGGAACCGGGGATTGAACTCAGGCCCTTGTACTTGCCAGCAAAGCGGTTATTTCACTGAGCCATCTCCCCGGCCCCCAAAACTACTAATTTTTACAATTGGAAACACTATAAAGAAATAAAATTTAAATGCTATGGACTTTGTACATTGAATTTTTTTTTTACACTTAATCAGCTAAACAGGACTTTTTGTTATTAATTAAAATCATATATATATATATATATATATATATATATGAGAAACAAGTGAATTATTTGTAATATAATCTATAAATCTATAGTATTTCAGATTTCAGCAATAATCTTTGTCAATGAAAGTTAGTACCTTGCACTTATCAACTTCTTCCTCAATTTTCTCAACAATAGCTGCATCCAGAATTTGTAAATCACAAGATGAACGAGACAAAGTACTGACAGGATGTCCTTTTAGCCAAGTAATAATTTCTTGAACTTTCTCAGTACTACAACATAAACAATTTTTTTTCACAGTGATTAAAATTGAGGGTTGATATAAAAGAACTGATAATAACTTTTGAGACAGAAGGCTTTTTTTTTTGCTTTTGTTTCTTTGTTTTTTTGGCCCGACTGGGGATTGAACTCAGGCCCTTGCGCTTGCCAAGGAAGCGCTTATTCCACGGAGCCATCTCCCCAGCCAGCAAATGGAGATAGAAGGCTTTTTTTTTTTCCTTTTGCTTTTCTAAGCAAGTGCTTTAGGCCACGGAGCTATCTTGCCAGTGGCGTTATACATACTCTTTTTTTTTTTTTTGCGGAACCGGGGACTGAACTCAGGCCCTTGCGCTTGCCAGGGAAGCACTTATTCCACTGAGTCATCTCCCCGGCCCCGATAATAACTTTTGAGAGTTGTGACAAATTCATAAAGTTATTGATCACTAAACTTAATTGGGTACTACAAATTTGTAATGAATATAGTACCTCTCAACAATAAAAATATACACAACAATTAGTATTAGAATATTAAAGATATAAAGAAAAAAGTTCTATTGCACTCTTAAAGCATAAATAATAGAAAATAAAACAAATGAAAAGTAACATGAAAAATTATTGATAAATTAGCTGTACTCTTCAATGGAACCACTAAATTGAACTATGAGACAGTAAGTACCACAGATCTTGCTTACCCATTCTCATTTTCTCCAGGCCAAATGTCATCTTCATAGAACACATCCTCTTGGCTATTTTTGGCTATATAACTAAATAGTTCTGGAGCTCTGGTCAAACAAACAAACAGATTGCTTTAAAAATAAATGAATGATGTTATACCCATTTCCGATATAGTAATTTCACACCCTAATGGGAAACATAAAGTACATACAGGAATTTATTATAGTAGTGTTAAGAAATTTATAAGTAAAACACTGAAAGATTTGGGTACTAGAAGAAGATCAGTACTAGAAGAAAAAATGTCTAGAATTACTACCTTGCAAAGAATAAAAATAAAGACATTCTATTCACCATAAGAGGATGGTATAAAAAGGAAAAGAGGCTGGCTCAGTGATAGTCTTTGGTTCAGTGTGCAAGGCCTGGGGCTGGTATTGCAAAAGAGACAAACATCCCATAGGAATATCCAGAAAAGAAGGAAACACTTTTCGAAATTAAAGGCAAATAAAAATTAAAAAGATGACAACATGAAGACACACAGGGCAGATGAAAGGCTGAGCACTGCACCTCCAGGAGCATAGTAACAAACAGGAGAGAGGCCCTTGCTCAGCGCCCCCAGAGGCGCTCGGCCCGCCGCGGGCATGCTCATACTGGTCAGCAGAGCCAGGAGACACGAGATTTTTACTGTGTGAGCCACGCCAATCATGTATTTTGCTATGGGACCCCTAGGAAACTAACACAAGAATCCTCAAACAGAGGGTTAGATACCAGTGGAACAACCGAAAGAACATTACCTGTGAGTCAGAAGTGAATATATTTCCTATAAATCTTTGTCACTAAGTAACTCAGTTAACATTAAAGAAAATATTATT